GGTGCCAGCACTTTCGGGTGTCAGCTTCGTGATGAAAGACATCTCCGTTCGAGGCAACATCGCCTTTGTGGCCGATTTTTGTTTGAGGGTATCGGACTGCTTCCTCCAGGGGTGTTATAGGGGTTTTTGCGGTCATTTTTGTACGGAGCTTTGGGGCTGTGCAAGGCATGGGTAGGCCAGGTTGATTTCAGAGATTTTGGGGCATTCTGGTCGGGTCTCGGTTTCGGGTTCTAGTTAGAGTTGAGGCCTCCGGGTGTGGAGTTTGGTTACCGGTTCAAGGGTTGAGGGTTCGGGGGCTCAGGGTCTAGTTTTTGGGGTTTCGGGGTTTATTTTGGGGTTATGGGTTCATCCCTGCCTTGATCGAATCAGCGCTAGGGTTTAGGGTTATAGGGGTTTAGGTTTTGGGGTTGAGGGCATCGGCGTAGGGCTTAGGGTTTTGGGAGAGGGGTTTAGGGTATGTGGTTTTCTGGGTTTAGCAAGGGCTTACTTACCGTTGCATCGACGGCTGAATACTTTGGGAAAATTTCTTCTTGAAGTCCTGACGCTTTGATTACGCTTTCAATTCACGCCGAAACACCAGTGATATATTAGCGCCCTAAGCCCAAAGCCCCTGAATCCGCAAACTTAAACCCCAAACCCAAACCCTGTAAACCCTAAAGCCCCGAACCCCTAAACATCCCAACCCCAAACCCCAAGTGTGCACTGGGCTTGCAATTGAGCCCGGCTGTGAGTTCTTGTGTTTCCCCATGGTTTCCATCAGGGTTTAGGGTTTTTACGGATTTCAGTTTCTGGGGGGGTTCCTTAAGGACGGAATGACCCTTAAAAGTAGGGGCCCTATACCCTTGTACTATGAATCCCTACATGGTATATGAACCCTAAACCCTTTTGGGGTTCATTTCGTCCTTAAGGTTTAGGGTTGCGATGTTTCCTCGATGGAGGGTTTAGGCTTAGAATTTAGCGTTCAGGGTGGCTTCAATGGGCTCAGCTTGTGGATGGCCATGATTTCATGACGGTTTCCGGTCCAGCGAAACGTCTTCACACGGAGATGTTTCACAGCCTGGTGATCAATACATATAGCAGAATCGCAGGTCCACCGTCGCCAAAGTCAGCTGACCAGCTCAGGATTGCACGTCCGTGAATTTCGCCATTTCGCATAACTTTTCAGCCAGCCTGAAAGACTAAGCCCTTATAGGCCTCCACCCCAAGCCTCCGAACTCCGAAGCAAGCCCTTGAATCGCAGCAACCTCATGACGACAGGTGATGCAAGCTTCGCACTCCGAAAAGGAAAGTGGGGATCCCGGATTCAGAAGGAACGGCCTCTTTAACTTTTTATATATCAGGGTGTCGGTCAGGGTTTGGGGAATCCTCAGCTCACGGGAATGGTGGATTAAGGCTTTAGGGGCCTGGGGGCTTGGGGGGGGGGGGGTCAACGGCCCTGGTATTCCGATCAGGATCTTCATGCTCAGGTTGTTCTGAATCTGGGTACTTAAAGGCTCATGAGACGAAGCCACTGTGGGCTATATACAAAAAAGGAGACTGTACTTACAATAGCATCTAAGCCCCTAGGCCCTAGAAGAAGCAACCACGATGAGAGGCTTTCAAGCCACACAACACCCAGAGGGTCCACACACACATACATATACATATACATACACATATACTTTTACATTTACAGATACAGATACAGATACAGATACAGATACAGATACAGATACATATGCATATACATATACATATACATATACATATACATATACATATACATATACATATACATATACATATACATATACATATACATATATATATATATATGTATACAGATGTGTATGCATGTATACACTTATATTTTCATGTATGTACATAGACATACACAGACACACACATGCACACACATACATACATGCATACATACATAAATACATACATATATACAGATACATACATACTTCTGTATCTAAATATATATATATACACATGTGTGTATATATATATGTATCATTTAAATGTTGATTGCCATGACGGGATCAGGACCCCAAACCCATAACAGGGAGGATCTTGTAGTTCTTACTTCTTTTTATTAGCATGTACGGACCCTCTAGGAAAGTCAGATTTGGCGTATTCCATTTTTACCTGTAGCTTCCACTGTACTGTAGTGCCTTTCTTTTGGTTTAACCAGCTTTATACTTAGGATCCTGCAAGGCACTGCCAAGAAAGGAACTACAATGGAGACTACAGGTAATGCGTCTCAGAGTCCTACTTAGTTTAAGGTTTGCGGGCTATATTTTCTGTTTTTTGCGGTTTGGGGTTGGAGGGTTCAGGGTTCTCGTGGTCGAGAGCTTAGGATTCGGGTCGGAGGGTAACCCCGCAACCCTAAATCGGTCCTAAACCCTAAACCGACCCTAAACCCTAAACCCTAACCCTCCTTATGGACCTCCCAGATTCCGTGGCATGTAAGATACCCCAGGCCCTGGATTAGCCAGACATTGAAATCTTGAAAGCGTACCTGGACCCTGAAGGACCCTCAGTACGGTTTCCTTATAATTAGAAGTCCTTCACACGGAAGGTTGTACAGGATCCAGATAAGCCCTAAACCCTTAGCCCAAAAAACAATATTGTTGGAGCCTTCAGTCCAAGCAACAGAAATCCTTCCCGTGCTTGCGGGCCCCAACCCGCAAGCCGTAATGCCAGAAGCAATGAGCAATGCAGAGAAACCCTTTCTACACCCCACAAACCTTTCATCAAGCTTGATATCTCTCGGGGAAAGGCAGTACTTTTCAGGCGAACCCGTCTATCTATCTATCTATCTATCTATCTATCTATACATCTATCCATCTTGTTATTTACATACACCTCCAGGCTGTATCCGGGTGCGTATCTACATATATACCTAGATCTAATAATGGGTCACTCTGTATCAATGCCTACGTAAACTTATCCGGATCCATCTCTACATCTAAGTCTATAGTTTTAGCTATGGCGGTATCTATATCTAGCCAGAAATTTATGTATCTCTATTTGCTTTTGCGTCTTTACTTCTATCTATGTCTGTGTCCATGTCTGTGCCTATATCTGTATCTGTATCTAGAGCTTTATCTACATCTCTATCCGTATCTATACCATATTTATTGCATCTAAACCTGTATCTACGTACCTCTATACCTGCATCTATCCCTATTTCTGAATGCCATGCTTCAGGCGAATCCTGTGCTACGAACTCTCTGCCACCTTGGCCTGGGAAGGCACCGATCTTGGAACTTTTTCCCGAAGCCCTAAACCCGACACCCCAAACCCTAAGCCCCAAATTCTAAACCCGGAGCCCTATAAGCCCTAAACCCAGAACCCTAGATGGCCCTAAACCCTAAACCCTAAACCCCAAACCCTGAACCGTTTCTGATTGTCGCGGTTTCACCGAGGCCACCCCGGAAGCTTCTCTTTGAGGAGAGTTGGTTAGATTGTAGGGCTCGGCTCGGTTTGGGTTCAGGATTTTGAGTTAGCGTTAGGGGTTTGGGTTCAGTGTTTGGATTTTGAGTTAAGTTAGGGTTAGGGGTTTGGGTTTAGGGTTTAGGATTTTGAGTTAGGGTTAAGGGCTGGGGTTTAGAGTTTGCATTTGGGGGGTTGTGTGTAGGGCACAGTACCATAAACCTTTCGAAGCCCAATAGCGAGCCCTTGACGAAAGATGTTTAGGTCGAAGCTTTGGTGTTTGAGCTTAGGTATTAAGGGCTTATGGGCGAGCCTGTGTGAGGCAGAAAGATTTCGTTTGCGTTAAGTGTTCAGAGTTGTTGTGTCCAGGCTGCCAGACCGAGTGAAGCTTCGTGATTGCTGTTGCAAGTTTCGAGCCCAAACCCTATGCATCCTGCCTGGCATTGATGAGAAATAGAGTAGAGCCTTGGAGCTCCAGGGAATAAAGCTGCTCACCATTATTATCATCACCGCCACCATCATCATGATTATCATCATCATGACCATCATCATCATCCTCGTCTTCTCGTTCCGAACAGGAAAATTTTCAGGCCTGGCTACCCCAGCCGTGAGTTCAGAAAGGTCGAGATGAGTTCGGGTGTCAACTCGGCGTGAAAGGCACTGCCAAGGCGGCGTTCGGTTGACTTTGCCCTATAATATTCCAGCTTGCTGTCTATATCTTTCAATTAGGCTTAAGAATTATAGGGTTTAGGCTTAGGGCGGTCTACTTCACTTTTGTTATATTAGAGCATCAGCAGTTGAAGAGGGTCCGTGACTATAGCCTCTCGATGTGGGGTTCAGCGTGCAGGCCTCAGGGTTTCCAGAAGTGATGGCCAAGTTGTTTGCAGAACGGTTTAGGGTTTAGGGGTTTAGGGTTCAGGGTTTAGGGTTGAGGGTTTAGGGTTCAGGGTTTAGGGAGGGGGAGTACCCGGTTCCTATTGTCGTTGTGGGAATGTTCAGGCTTTCCCCGCAGTCTCTGTAATGTAGACATCTTCTAACGAAGCTCTGCATCGCATGCCTCCACCACAGAAAATGTGAACGCCCACCGAACCTCAAGATGATAGGATCGATGTTAGGCTCTCTGAGAAAACATGATAATACCAACTGCTGAACCATCTGAAAGTCCAAATCCTAAACCCTGAAACCGCAGTCGCTTGGCGTTTCCCGTTAGAAGACTGATTGCCAATTCTTGTGCTCCGACTTGTCGTGCTGCACGAACAGCTAGCAAAGGCATCAGTTGTCATGTTGAATCGCCATCCCTGCGCACACATGACATAAGTTTGCAGACATAGGCAGACAGATAAGAAATGGATAGGTAGACGGATAGATAGACACATAGGCATGTAGACAGATAGGCACGAGCAGCCCATGGAAATCATGGTTGCGGCAGCTTCGAACCAGGAGGTGTCATTATGAGCCTGTTGCTGATCCAATAGGGGTTAGGTTTTAGGGACTTCGCCTATTCACCGCAAGCTTGAAATTCAGCCCAGAAAGCTTCCGGGCATTAAATAGATCAACAAGCCCCCATATTGGCCAACATGGCGGATTCGGACGGCCTTCCTGGCGACGATGAGAGCGACGATGCCCAAGCAGAAAGCTGCATGGCTCTGAGAAAGCCACAATTGCTTGGATTTGAAAATGGGGGTCCGCCTTTCAGACCTAGAATGTATTGTAAATACAGATTGGAACCTTCAGACCCTGAGTGTATTATAAATAAAGCTTAGAACCGTTAGTGCAGGATATTAGCTGAGTTCAGGGTTTCGAACTTCCCCAAGAGAGGCTCCCTCTCCGGAGTCAGCGACATGCACAGTGCGACAGCATATGTTATGATGAGCATCGTCTCAAGAAGTTTGCGAAGCATCCGTTGCTGTGTCCATGTTCGAGGTTGCATCGGTGCCATCATCGCGAATGCGACAGACGAGGCGAATCACTGACTGCTCTGCTTCGCGGGATTCAACCGAAGTTCGAAGCAGAAAACTAGGAAGACTAGAAACCCGAGGTCTTCAAGCACCCTAAAGCCTAAACCCAATACATCACCTGAGCCCCTTCGTTCTGCTGCCGAGTTGCCTAGGCTTTGTATTCAATCACGCAGCAGAGCTTTGCAAGGGCTCTATAGAGGGTCAAAGCCTAAGCCCTTCAAGGACACCCATAAAGGAAGGGCTCCTTACAGGAAGGAGCCCTTCAAGGCATCCTAAAGCAATATAGGCTTCTGGAGTTTCCCTGTCTGCTGCTCTAGGTGGTCCGGAGTTCCTCATCCGGAGCGGGTCCCCGCGCTGAGAATGTTTCGCCTCCTGGAGTGGTTTGAGACGTCGAGGTAGTATGGGGTTAGGGCTTGGGGTTTAGATTTATAGATCTAGGGTTTTGGGGCTTCGTACCTCTAGTGTGTCGGGCTTGGGGCGTACAGTACCTAGAGTTTCGGGTTTGGGGTTTAGGATGATTAGAGTTTAGGGCTTGGTTTTTTTGGGTACGGTTCAGGGTTTGGGGTTGACAGCCTAGGGTTCAGCCACCCAAACAAACTCGTTTCAAAAAGTAAGCATGTTGCGTGCGGTAGCCTTCCATTTTGGCATAGTCCTTGTATTAGATACCGTAAGCTGCAAAAAGCCGAATATGGAGTCGAGGAATCCTACGAAACTTACGTTTTGGTTAAGGTCCCAACAGGTTAACCTGAAGTTCTTTAAGAAGCACAGGCTTGCAGATGTAGGGCGTAGTGATTTGGGGTTTTTGTGCCGCCGGGATTTGGTATTTAGGGTTTACGGGGTGTGAGCCTTGAGTGTTCCGGGCTTTGGTTCTCCAAACTCTGCCCATGCTTCTGAACATGGCCGCAAGCCATGGTATGCCTCATGACTTGGGCCTCAATGTGGGGGCTTTCTACTTCAATGAAATCATCCTACAATTCCAAGCCCAAAACCTTCATGTCCGAGGCCCGAAACCCACCTTTCGTAAGCCTGCACACCGAAACTCCTAACCGGAACTCCCTCCGCCCAAGACTTGTAAGGCCTAAACCGAAAGGTCCTGAACCTTTTTTCCTAAGCCCCATCAAATTCATTCCGAAACCGAAAATTCCCGCCCCTATGAATACAAGTAGCTTACTTGGGTTTAGCTACCCTATTCGTAACCTCAGTTGCTACGTCACTGGGTTGTTTACGTAAACGTGATGCCTGAACCCCTAGCCCAAAATACTTACGTCCTCGAGGGAGAGGGAGAGAGAGAGAGAGGGAAACCTAAACCCTAAACCCGAGAAAGAGAGAGAGAGAGAGAGAGAGAGAGAGAGCAAGGATGGCTTCGTCGAGCCGCGCCACACAGCAGCGAGTCTCAGTGACTATCGGCTCCTCACCTGATACTTCATTGGGGTTTAAGCGTTACCCATGAATCCTACATCCTGAACCGTCATCACGAAGGTCCCCTAAGAGTTAGGATTTAGGAATGTTTAGGGTTTGGGGATGTTTAGGGTTTGGGGATGCTTAGGGATTAGAGCTATATACGGATGTTTAGGATTTAGTGTTTATGGATGTTTAGGGTTAGGGGGATGAGTAGGGTTTATAGGGTATCTATACCCGATTTCTGCTGCGCCGTAAGCCACGTCCCTCAGGACGAGACACTAAGTCGAAGCCTAACATAGATCATGGAGGCCTGAATAGTTGCGAGTATTATTCCTTAGGGTCGAAAACATCCCAAAATCTTCTTTTGACTATCAACTAGCTTTAGCTTTCACCTGAATCCCATGTCCGCCTGAGGGCTGCCCACTATTTGGTCCCCTGCTTAAGCGAACCCACAGCCGAGATCCTAAACCCTAAACCAGGAACTCTAAAACCCTATAGCCCTAAACCCTAAACCCTAAAGGCCCTAAACCCTAAAACCTAAACTAAAAACCTAAAGCCTAAACTAAAACCCTAAACCCTAAACCCCCAAAAACCCTCTAAACCCCAAAGGAAAGTCCATGGAGCCGCGCCCGGAAATCACCCTGGCGCTCACGGCGTCCCGGCGGTCGGAGGAGCTCCGCGACTACGTCAAGAGCCAGGACATGACTTTAACGGTTAGGGTTTAGGGGTTTAGGGTTTAGGGTTCGGGGTTTAGGGTTTAGGGGTTTAGGGTTGTTACTTAGGGGCTGAGTAGGCAACCTTTAACCTTTTGGGGCCTAGATAAACCTATTATCATTCAAAAGGTTTACCTTTTTATGGGCTAAGATACTCGGCCCCTAAGTTAAAGTTAGCATAGATAGTTTAGGGTTTGGGATTAGTTAGGGTCTAGGGCCTAGGGTTTAAAATGAACCTATATATCCAGGATGGAAAGCATCATAATTAAAGTTGATGGTCTTTTGGTTCTTCATTCCATCATAGCTACATACGGACTCTCTACAGAACCCTGATATGGGAGGGTCTGAAGTCTGAAGTGTAAACTTTGTTTCAGTTTGAAGTTACGGTTCGTGGGGGTTCTGAGCTGCTAGATGTTGTGGCTTTGGGTTCTCCGGCGCGTCGGAGGTTTAGGGTTTAGGGTTTTGGGTCAGGGATTTAGCTGCAGGGCTTGTGGGTGTTGGTGCGCGACATGGGCCCCCGGGAACGAAAGCCAACTTTGCTACTTTCTGTGCTTTCTTGCGGCCGGTCTACGTCAAGATTATCCTTAAAGCCCATACCAGCCGTACTTCAAACCCCAACTGTGTGTTCAGGACTTCTGGCGAGTGCCACACTTCTTCCGGGATCTACAGGCAGACTTCGCTGAGGAGGAGGACCCAATAGGCTTAGGCTTTGTATGGAGAGTCTAAGGTTAGGGCTTAGGGTTCAGGGTTTAGGGTTTACGGTTTAGGGTTTAGGGTTTAGGGATTGTTCAGGTTGCAGTGCTGCTTTGCTGGCGCTTCAAGCTATGTACCAAAGCATCGATGCCCGTACATGCCAGATGAGTACCGGTTGCCAAGAGGTAAGTTGGACTGCAGGCATTTAAAGTTTAGCAAAGTAGACAGAAGTTCCCTCTTAGATACAACGATAGCTAGATAGCTACTCGTAGAGCTGGTCGACAGATAGGTGGATAGTGATAACGATTGCTAGCTAGCTAGATAGATAGATACAGAGATGGACAGAAAGAAAGCAAGACAGATAAACTAATGGATGGATGGATGGATGGATGGACGGATGGAGAATGGACAAATGGATAAATGGATGGATGGGTGGATGGATGGGCGGGCGGGTGGGTGGGCGGGTGGGCATGTGGGGTGATGTGTGGATGAGTGGATGGGTGGATGGGTGAATTGGGTGATGTGTGGATGGGTAGACAGACGACAGACAGAAAGATGGGTAGACAGGAAGAAAGTAGGTAGATGGCTGGATAGCCTAAAGCCCAACACAAACCCCTGAAACGCTGAGAACACTAACCTTCAACCTCAACCCGCAGCTGTGGTAACCGGATAAGTAGGACTCTTCAAGCCCTAGTCAGAACCCGACACCCACCAAACCTCTCGAACTCAAACCCCAAGTTGAGCGGCTAGCTCCGAAATCCAATCCCCCCTGTAAGCCTTGTTGAAACCAACCCTAACACCCCAACACCCTAAACCCTAAACCCTGAACCCTAAGCCCTAAACCCTAAACACCCTAAACCCTAAACCCTGAAGCCCGAAAGCAAAGACGCTGAGAGGATTACATCTCCTCTCTTCCGAAAGCTCCAGAGGCCGAGTTTTGCCTTAGGGTTTGGGCGTTTGGGTTTTGGTGGAGTTTGTGTTTAGGGCTTAGGGTCTGGGTTCAGGGTTTAGGGTT